ATTAACAACTACGAGATGTGAAAATGTAGACGGAGGCTTTAATAAACAACTTACAAACATATCACCATATATTTTTTCAATCGATGTAGATTTTACCTCGAAGAAAAAAAATCATTTGATCTATATACCTCAATTTTATCATGTGTCAATAACTAAACTCATTGGTGTCACAAATATTTGTAAGTGAGACGTAATAGTTATTTTGGAAAAAAAGGTTTCACATAATGTTTCTGTAAAGTATGTCACTTAATATTTAAAATAACATTTGATAAAGATAATTATTTTCTTAATAGATATTAAAATAAGAATAGCAATCCAACTTTAAGACAAATTAGTCCACATCACTTTGTAGATTTGATAGGTTTAGCTGGAAGATATCAATTTTCAGTTTTCTTTCCAAAAACTTTTTTATCTAGTAGTATCAACGATATTGATCTCTCTGTTAATAAATTTTGAAACTGTTCGAACAGTTCCCAACTACCAACTTGAAGCTCAGTTACCGATCACTTAGCACCCCATCAATGTCTTTGATAAGGCAATAAAAGGAAATAGTTATTTTGTTTTGACCTTGCATAACATGCTTTGCAAAAATACATACATTTTTAGCGTAACTTACATAAATGTATTGGTGATTTCCTTAAAAAATAAACTTTTCAAACGAGTTATTTCTTTGCTTCATCTTTTCATTTTTTATTTATCTTTTTATTGTTTTAAATAAATAAAACAATTAACTGAATATTTGAAAATATGGAAAATGGGATGTTTTGGATGATCCACGGTTATGTGACATACAATTAAAGTAGACGATCATTGAATTGTAACGTCACCAGTCTCGTCATCGCCCGCAGAATATGCATTTTAGTATAATGATTATGCAAAGTTATAACCCCACTAAAGTGCAATAACACCAGACCTAAAATAACATTGTTGCATTTATTTTCTTATCGTCTTTTTCCGAAATCATAGTTCTTTAATAAATAGTGCATTAAATAACATTCTTCATTGCAGAAATCTCACTTGAATGTATTACCAAGTGCATTTAATCTTGATTAAATCGATTTGATGAAGAATTGCACAGAAACGAAACTAATGAAAGTCAATGAGTTAAGCTGCCTCCGCCTGCTAACCAGACGCCCATATAGAGATTAACAAGTGTAAACATGTGTGATGTAATGGAAAGTCACCCGATAGTAATATCCTGAGCCTCGTCAGGGTTTATTGAACAATTCTCTAACATCAAATCAAATATCCCCTAGCGGAGTCATAGTATCTTCTATACATATTTATACAAACAGAAGTAATGATTTCAATTAATTTCTCTCTCTCAATGTAAATTAATGAAAAACCTCATGTTCGAAACGTTCAAATTGATGCCTGTTGCTCAGTGTTTTTATACGTGCTTCGAACATGTTATTGTGCAACAAAAATTACAGAAAAAATTAATTGGAATATTCAAAATATCTTAGTTGAAGTTATTATCATAATGTTGTGTTTTCGCCCTCAGCCATGCTGCTATCGGTGCAGCCCATTCTAACATGTTAGAAGAGACAGCTTTGTTTCAATAGCTACAGTGAATGTAAAATTCCAGTAGGCGGTTGTCAATACATACACTAGCGTAATCTTCTCATAGAAAATTTCTCGAAGGTTCAGGGATTATCCGAAATGACGTATTTATATCCCATGCAATATTAATGATAGGTGTTACCAGTCAGATAACCGTGGTAAAAGCTATGGGCCTGTTCTTCTGTGAGGCCTAACATAAATATACGCCTTTGCTGATACATTAGTAGTATGAATTATTCACAGTTGACTTTAATTGTTGGCCCTATCGAAACAAAAGCAGGACGGCATCTTCAAAGCACTATAAATTCTAACTGAACGCGAACTTCCAATAGAATTACGAGTCTGAGGCTAAGACATCAGACAGCTCCCGCCAATAGTTACAGCGGCTACGGAGTGATTTTCAGTAAGGCGAAGTACACATTGTCATTGGAACGGAAGCTCGTACCCTTTAGTAGCTGTGTTTGATCGCCAAAGGTAAGTCTTAATTTGTTTTATTTAAATACAAATCAAACGAGTTTAGTGCACTTGAACATTTTGAAGAAGAAACTATTTTTGATATTCCATAAAGCCAGAAACTTTGGAACAAACGCATCTTTATGTGGCGATGACACTTGATTTCACTTCATCCCTAAAAAATTAGAAAAAAAAAACACACAAATAAATTCGGTACCACATTAAATAAAAACACCAATAAGTTCGGTACCACATTAGATAAAATGACCAATAAGTTCGGTACCACATTAGATAAAATGACCAATAAGTTCGGTACCACATTAGATAAAATAATCAATAAGTTCGGTATCACATTAGATAAAAAGACCAATAAGTTCGGTACCACATTAGATAAAAAGGCCAATAAGTTCGGTACCACATTAGATAAAATGACCAATAAGTTCGGTACCACATTAGATAAAATAATCAATAAGTTCGGTATCACATTAGATAAAAAGACCAATAAGTTCGGTACCACATTAGATAAAAAGACAATAAGTTCGGTACCACATTAGATAGAAAGACCAATAAGTTCGGTACCACATTAGATAAAAAGACCAATAAGTTCGGTACCACATTAGATAAAAGACCAATAAGTTCGGTACCACATTAGATAAAAAGACAATAAGTTCGGTACCACATTAGATAAAATAACCAATAAGTTCGGTACCACATTAGATAAAAAGACCAATAAGTTCAGTATCACATTAGATAAAAAGACCAATAAGTTCGGTACCACATTAGATAAAAAGACCAATAAGTTCGGTACCACATTAGATAAAAGACCAATAAGTTCGGTACCACATTAGATAAAAGACAATAAGTTCGGTACCACATTAGATAAAAAGACAATAAGTTCGGTACCACATTAGATAGAAAGACCAATAAGTTCGGTACCACATTAGATAAAAAGACCAATAAGTTCGGTACCACATTAGATAAAAAGACCAATAAGTTCGGTACCACATTAGATAAAAGACCAATAAGTTCGGTACCACATTAGATAAAAAGACCAATAAGTTCGGTACCACATTAGATAAAATGACCAATAAGTTCGGTACCACATTAGATAAAATGACTAATAAGTTCGGTACCACATTAGATAAAAAGACCAATAAGTTCGGTATCACATTAGATAAAAAGACAATAAGTTCGGTACCACATTAGATAGAAAGACCAATAAGTTCGGTACCACATTAGATAAAAAGACCAATAAGTTCAGTACCACATTAGATAAAATGACCAATAAGTTCGGTACCACATTAGATAAAAAGACCAATAAGTTCGATACCACATTAGATAAAATGACTAATAAGTTCGGTACCACATTAGATAAAAAGACCAATAAGTTCGGTACCACATTAGATAAAAGACCAATAAGTTCGGTACCACATTAGATAAAAAGACCAATAAGTTCGGTACCACATTAGATAAAATGACCAATAAGTTCAGTACCACATTAGATAAAAAGACCAATAAGTTCGATACCACATTAGATAAAATGACTAATAAGTTCGGTACCACATTAGATAAAATAACCAATAAGTTCGGTACCACAGACCAATAAGTTCGGTTCCACATTAGATAAAAAGACCAATAAGTTCGGTACCACATTAGATAAAATGATCAATAAGTTCGGTACCACATTAGATAAAAAGACCAATAAGTTCGGTACCACATTAGATAAAATGACCAAAAAGATACCACATTAGATAAAAAGACCAATAAGTTCAGTACCACATTAGATAAAATTACCAATAAGTTCGGTACCACGTTATATAAAAAAGACCAATAAGTTCGGTACCACATTAGATAAAAAGACCAATAAGTTCAGTACCACATTAGATAAAAAGACCAATAAGTTCGGTACCACATTAGATAAAATGACCAATAAGTTCGGTACCACATTAGATAAAAAGACCAATAAGTTCAGTACCACATTAGATAAAAAGACAATAAGTTCGGTACCACATTAGATAGAAAGACCAATAAGTTCAGTATCACATTAGATAAAAAGACCAATAAGTTCGGTACCACATTAGATAAAAAGACCAATAAGTTCGGTACCACATTAGATAAAATGACCAATAAGTTCGGTACCACATTAGATAAAATGACCAATAAGTTCGGTATCACATTAGATAAAAAGACCAATCAGTTCGGTACCACATTAGATAAAAAGACCAATAAGTTCGGTACCAGATTAGATAAAATGATCAATAAGTTCGGTATCACATTAGATAAAAAGACCAATAAGTTCGGTACCACATTAGATAATTTGCCTGGAATTCATCAGAATAAGCAAAAACTATTTTAGTATGAAAACGTGTCGTTGATAAACTTTGTTTTTCAAATAATTAGAATTAGCAAATCATATACCGAACTAATTCTAAACAAATTTGTATCGTTTTTATGTTTCTATTCATTTGAAATTTAAGAGTAGTTTTATGAGGTTTGAATGTTCGTACGTCACAAAGCTAATGACAAAATTGAACAAATGAAAAACGTATAACAAGACGTTTCATTTTAAAAGTACACATACAATTTAATATTCAAATATTTCATGTTGAAGTGAAAACTAATTAAATATCTTAATGTATTTAGTGGAAATTCATACATGTTTTATTGCAGGATAGTCCCGTTAACATCAAGCAACGGTACTCTGAAATTGTAATCGCTGGCTGTACATAACTGAAATCATACATAGAAAATAATGTTTGTGTATTAGCTACTTGTTCAATCAGATACTATGTTTGTAATGGAGGTTGTTCTTAACGATTACACGTTATTTCGGTATTTTTTTTTTTTTTTTACTATTCGATGTTGTGCAATTTATTTCGCGCTTTAAAATATTTTTCTCTTAAAAACTGAATAAGGAAAGGTAATTGTGTATTCATAAGTATCTTGAATCTTTGTCGTTTATTTCCTGTCACAGGATTATTGAAATGAGACTACAGACCTGGGTGCTGTTATATATACTGCTGCCTCTTGTTGCCATGGTTTCTAGTATACCACTCTATGGGGATATGGCGATATATACAGACAAGCGGTAAGTTCGACGTTTATATCAAAACATGTTTGGTGAACTCAATAGTTTATGAATTTAAAATCACGCACTTTTTCCAATTTGCATGTTTTCTTTGCCTTATAGGCAATTTTATTGCTTTCATTTCGTTAAAATGATAGTCGACATGGTATTTCGAGCCCGCACATTTAAGTGACTTTATCGATGTGTCGAGATATCAACATAACAATTAAGATGATTTTAGTGAAGGCATAGGAACAAAACATTTGATTACAGGTTTAATCGGCTGCTTCTAACAATGAAGCATTTTATGTGTCTAGATGTTCACGTTGAACGATCGCACGAGAATAATCTAAACCCAGGATCTTTATCTCTGCTTCCTGAATGTTGTACCTGATGAGTGGCAAGCTACCTATTGAAAGCTATGTAATGTTACTGCGACACCACCATCAAGTTACCATCGAATGGTCAAATTAATGATGGACATTGCCATCGTATGACATTTAGACGTTGTGAGGGAGGTGCTAAAAACTTCAACAGTCATATGATTTAGTGACCGAGTGTGTCGTCTTTCACAAACCATCGGCCATGCATAATTTAGAAACAAGCAGCAACTTGAACAGAATTGGTCGACTTCTGATATGAAGCCATGTGGATTTAAACAAACATCATAAAGGACAGATTGCTTCGATAGTAACCTATATTTCTCAAAGCTACCCTAAAACATAACTTTCATTTCCCTGATAACAAAAATGAAAAACATGATAATCCTAATTATTGCAATGGACAGTACTTGGATTTTAGAGAGTTTGACTTATTTTGATGTAGGATTAATTTGTTGAAGTGATGTCACGACCTCATAGATTGAATTGTGACGTAGGAATAAATACCATATCTTTCTTTACTGTTTACCTGAATAATCAATCACTTGGTAATAATGCTATAGAAACGTGATTAATAAAACTCTTCGCCAAGGACCATATATATTCGTTGCGTTCTTGGAAAATACGATATACACTCAAACATTCCTCTACAAGCGCATTTGTGTAAAAAAAAAAAAAAAAGAGGGAGGGGGGATGTAGCTTCAATGTGTGTTTAATCGGTAAAAGGCTCCGGTTAGGGGTTGCGTATATTGTGAACATTTCCCCTAAATTCTGAGTTTCAGCATGTCCGTTCGAAATATTCTTCTAATAAACGCAATGAACATGAGGATTATACAAATAACCTCAACCTACTGGGTGTATAAATATCGTCTTGGTTGAAGAGTGTACACTAAGTCATTACAAGAAGCTAATGGACCTTTATGGCCACCTGTTTATAGAGACAAAACATAGCAGCAGAGGTAGTGGGAACAATACCTTCATGATAAGAACGATTCTGAATTACATTAATGTAAGCAAAAAAGCACTGATAATTTCAGTTTCTTAACATGTCATCAATATTTAACTCAATAATACCAGTGAAACTGGATCAAAAGCAAAAATGATCTTTTTAAGAAGACGGCTCCATTAGATTTCTGACCGAACAAAAATAGCAACACTGCGTTAGAATTTAATCAGAATCGTTTCAGGGAAATCTTAACTGAATTCCACTGGTGCAAACTGAGAAGTTTCAAATGGATTTAGTTCTCGGAAAACCCCGACCATGCTATCTTGCTTCACCATGGACACCGAAGCTGGTATATTAACAATTTTAATTTAACTTAATTTTAAAAAGAACATTGCAAGTAAACGTGGGCTGAACCCATCTTCTGGAACTTGCGAAATTTAAAATGTGTTTCCGGAAAAAACCACTTGGTTCTAGCCATTTCGAGATTATTTCAGAAACATTAAAGCTTAAATCTACACGCAGAACTTAAGATTTTGAAAATGGATGTTGTTTAGGAAAGAAGTCAAGTCTCAAGGTTGCTGCCCTGGCTTTTACGACAAATATTAAACGAGAAAGAAAATGCATTTTTAAAAATAGTTTATTTTCCTCGACATTTCCCACCAATTTTCAGTTCAATGGCAGTAGTGGAACTGGAGACGTTTAAAATGTGAATTCCAAGCTTGTGGTCATATTGAATTGTTGGCCAACCCATAAAATAACACCTGAGCAAGATCTTTTCTGGCAGAATCGGGCCATTGAAACCGTAAACGTCGATTCTAAAATTCAAACTACCAGTTTGAAACTTGTAAGGCCTCTTATATGCTGCAACGAGAACCCTATCATTTATTTTACTCTTAGAATAATAGTATTCTTAAGATGTGTGCATACAGTGTAGGGGCCCAGTATTTAGACAGTAAAGTAGAAGTGGAAAAAAAGGGGGAAAATCAGGAACACAATCTAATCCAGACGTCAATTCACCGACGGCACCCGCCATATAAACCTTTGTTAATCCAAGTAAGGAATATCACGTTCTCAAATAAGAACAATGTATACAACAAAAGAACCACCAGGCAAACTAACGAGCATCAAACACGCCCAGCTGCATATCCCACAAAGAAATGGATTAATCCGAAATGGCGACAATAAACCTTCCCCATTATTTTCATCAACTTGCATGTTTTGAAACATCGTGTTGCCAATTTTTCCGTCAGTTAACGATTTCTTGCACAAAAATCGTTATTATGGGAGCAAACTATTGTATATCGAATCAGCTGTGACATGTAAATAGAGGTTTAGAGATGCAGGGATATTGGTATCCAGAAATAGGAATTCCACAATAGGTAAATTGAAAACAACTAGTTTATCATACAACTTGATGGAAAGCTGTCAATATTAGCTTCATTGTAGGAAAAGATATCGATAAGCTGCTGATGTTGAAGAATTTTCCGTTTCTTTGATTTCCAATTCTGGTGGGTATATACGATGGACGTCGTAAAGAAATTGTTTGTTATCAACATTCAGGACGTCTATCGATATATCTGAAAATGAAATTAAACGACTTTGCAAGGTATATGCTACTTGTTTGGTAAGCTCTTCAATAAATATAGCCTTGAATGAAAACAAAACAAGTCAGCCGACAGAGGGGCACAGTTAGTTCCCGTCTCATTACAATCCATCTCAAAATGAGAACCGATGCCACCGGGAATACTGATCTGATAGAGATCTTATGAATGTCGCCGTCTTCCGAAATCTTGTGGTTTACCTACTTATCTGAAGTCTTTATCTTTATCCGTTAATCATTTGACACATGCAATACATACCTTTGTGTTTCAATGACACCATCAAATCACTTAATTTTGCAATGTGTCATCAGTGGTTCTAGGTTTCTCCAGACCATTTTCGCTAATGGTTTTAATGGTATGAAACATTAACGACCTTTCTTTAAATTAGGTGCTTTGAGTTTGTGACCAATCATAGGCACGCTAATACTTTTTCATGTACACGCAGTTTACAATGATGTGATCAACAATTCAACTGCTTAATTAACTTCTTGTTTTCAGCGAGTTAATGTGTCGTGACCTATTGTGTCCGTCGCAAGATAGTGTCTTTAGTGAAACTTCTTACCGACATCTTAATTGACTTTTTTAAAAACATTTTGTCTCAGATGTGAAAAGCCCTAAGTAAAACATCATGAGTCTTATTACCATGGTTTCAAATAACAGATATCTGATAAGATGAACAAAGAGAAATATAGCCCTTTTTTTCTGAGTTGCCTTCCTGATGCCTTTGGATGAGAAACCGTTAATGTCTTGACGTCCCTGTATTCCGTAATTATCATGTAGAGTGTTCACATGTCACATTTTACACAAATGCACATTTAAACCATAAAATGTTCTGTGGATTAAGTTGCACAAGACATAGGAATAAGGCGTAAAAACAGGGGTAGCACTTACAAGATCATTAACTATAGTAATAGGAATGACCCTAATGACATTTCTGTTGTTGTTAAACTGTGAGGGGTATATTGATATCTATATATATCTATGTTCTCATTCTAATGTTGATAGCCGTAGCAACTATACATCAACTGATCTTAATACATCCTGACTAAGATTATCTTACCACAAGGGAATATTGTACAAGATTTACTTGCGGAATATCAACTTTTAGATTCTTGAAAGTAAACAAGCATTTGCACATTTATAAATGGCTTAGATTACACTCCCACACGTTGTTGGGTGGTGCAGTGGTAACACACTCGCCTTTTACCTAGCCGCCCGGGAATTCCCAGATGTGAAAAAGTATGGGGTCACCTGCCCGACCACGTGGATTTTCCACGGGCACTCCCGTTTCCTCCCACACTAAGACCCCTCGCGCGCTTCCATCCGATCCAACAAGAGTGATTGATATAAGTTGGAAAAACTTGTTTCGCAATTGTTGTAAAATAAATAAAGTTTATTATTATTACTATAATAGCTTGTTAGATAAATGATGTTTCCACACACCTTCATAATAGCCTAGATTTATTTAGACGATTTTGTTCATACTTTAAAGTAAGTAGTGAAGGCAGGACTCTGTGTTTAACGTCATAACAATTTTTCTCTCCATTCCGTTATCTTTATTTAGGCATGCATCTTACCCTCCCAAAATTGAAACGTCAACTGATATAGACTGACATCCGCTTAATGGTCATATTTACATTTCTGTTTTGAGTGAAAACAATATTTTCGTGTTTTTTCCGATTAATAGTTATATTTTGTATATGTTTACACAGGGAGAAATATTGAAAGATAAACTTTATTATTGTTGTTTGAGGTGACGTAAAAATTGCTGACGTAACGTACCATGGCGTCATGATGTTGTTCAGTTGTCTGGAAAGGATCTATACCCTTGTAAATCCAACCCAGTTTCATACTAAGATGATGACCATGATGCGGAATCGTTGATATGACCATATGAATACAACAAAGAAAACACCGTTATGTTAAGGATCTTGAGCAAAACTTAGATTCGACGGAACAAACCAGACCAAGATAATTGCAAAACATATTTGCAAGGAGACTTCTGGAAGGCACACAAGGGGAATAAGATCAGGTATTCGGGGCTTTCAGGGATGCTTCGACCTCTTTGGCTATTTGACAGTGAAACCACAATGA